AGACACATTGGACCCTAGATAACTAGACCAGGCACACTGAACCTGAGTCAAATAGACCAGATACACTGGACCTTAGACAAGTAGACCAGACACACTGTACCCAAGACAACCAGACCAGACACACTGTACCCCCAGACAACCAGACCAGACACAATGAACCCTAGATAACCAGACCAGGCACACTGAACCCAAGTCAAATAGACCAGATACACTGGACCCCGGACAAGTGGACCTCCCACTGGACCTCAGACGAGTAGACAAGTCACACTGGACCAAAGACAAATGGACCAGACACACAGACCAGACACACTGGACCCAAGACAAGAATATTAAACCCCAGACAGGTAGACCAAAAACAATGAATTCCATACAATTGGACCCGACAAACTGGACTACGGACATGTAACCATGACACACTGGGACCAAGACAAGTAGACAAGCCACACTAAATCTCGGACAAGTAGACCAAACACACTAGGACCCCAGCCAAGAGGACCAGACATCACACTGGAGGCCAGACAAGTGGACCAGATATACTTGGCTCCAGACAATTAGAACAGACACGCTGAACCCCAGACAAGTGAACCAAACACACTGGGTTCCAAACAAGTAGACAAGACACACTAGACTAATTGAATATCATTTTTGTTCATACTCCACATTATTAATGTATTCCCAAAGTGAAAAATAAGACAATATGTGCTGATAGCAGTTTTGATAAATATTGGTATACTAACCTTGTATATTCAGGAAAAACCATTCAATATATGAAGTGATGGGATACTTGTTAGCATACTGATAAACAAATAGTATTGTATACCTGCAATACAAAACTGTTCCAATTAAGTCACTTTAGTTAATACAGCCTAGATAGTTGAGATATCTATCATCTTTATATTATGTGTCAAGCATGCAACATAAAAACATTACCACATTTAAAATTCAAATGAGGAATTGATTTGTTAACTGCCATATTGTTTCTGTCAGCTACATTGCCAGCGAGGTTGCTGACTGGTTGAGATTGTAATACTACTAATAGTGGAACAATTTTGTTTAGGTGAAATCAAACCTAAACTTATTTAGTTGCATGACAAATATCAAAATTATTAAAACAAATAAAACAAGTCATTGTCAATGACACGTCCCCGTTCCGTTCATATTTGAGTGACAAATACATTCAAAGCAGATCATGACCGAATTCTCAGACCACTTTCAGTGGTCTGATCCGAAATGCACCTGGATATGTACAACACATTGTACTAAATCTGAACAAAATCCATCCTTGCATGACTGAGATCCGGTTCTGGAATTGTGAAAATACGTGATTTTGATGCATTTTCGGTCTTAAAATGGCCATCATTCAGCTATTGTTAAGCGGATCATGAAACAAATGCACATATCTATTTGTGAC